CCAGGGCGTGGTGAGTACGGGGTCGCCGGTACCCGGGCCGGCCTTCGGAGGGGAGCCGGGTCTCGGCGTTGTGGGTGGGTAGGGGGGTCCGGCTCCTGGGTGGCCAGGGCTGTTATCCAGCTGGGAACCTCGCGTCCCCAGTCCCCAACCCCAAGTCCGCGGAGTGAGCGGGGCCGGGTTCCGGAGACCCGGATTCTAGGATCCGAACGTCGGAGGAGGCATTGGTTGCGTAGCCGCATGTCAAGACGCTTGGGTCCGGGCTCCAGAGTCCGAAGCGTGATGGGGACAGGGTTCTGGGGACCGGGATTCTAGGACTCAAGTTGAAGGAGGAGCTGGGATGGGGGCTGGAGGCCAGGACTCCGGGGTCCAGATAAAAGCCGGAGTGCGGGGGCGGGGGGGAGGGGGAGTTGAAGGGGAGGGGCTGCCACGTGGGGCTGCGAGCCTTGGGTGCTGCCAGAAGCTGGTTTCCAGGATGGCGGGGGAAGGGACGGGCGCCACCTTCCCAGGGGTCCCGTCTTTCTCACGCTTCTGTCACCTAGGACTGGCTGACCCGCTACGGCTACTTGCCGCCGCCCAACCCCGCCCAGGCTCAGCTCCAGAGCCTGGCGCAGCTGAGCGACGCCATCAAGGTCATGCAGCGCTTTGCCGGGCTGCCGGAGACCGGCCAACTGGGTAGGTGCCCCCCTGCTGGCACCCAGACCTCTCTCCGCACCCAGCCTGAGCCCCTGCGCGCGGTTCTTTACCTCCCTGTGTGCTTGAATACTGGGAGGAACCGAAATGCTGACGATCGATCGGCGAGAACTCAGGGGAACACCACGCATTCCAGGTTCAACAAACCCGGGCGCTTCAAAAAGTTCGCGGAGACATTGCGCAATCTCTCAGTTCCATTTCCGACCAGCTTTTTGAAGCCCCATGGGCCGAGCGCGGTGAAACCGTGTAAGGCAGAAACCAGTCAGAGCTGGGAAAGGCGGGTTTCGTTTTCCGTTCAAGTGATATGGGTTCCGCATTGGACTGCTCATCCCAAGGTCAGCAGTTCGAAACCCCCAGCCTCTCTGAGAGGGAAAGATGAGGCATTCTGCTCCTGTAAAGAGTTACCGTCTCAGAAACCCTGTCCTGTAGAGTCACTATCAATCGGCTTTGACTCGATGGCATTGAGTTTGGGAGCCCAGTGAGTGGGGGTGGGGCGCTGCGCCCTAAGGGCTGGGCTGTTAACTGAAAGGTTGGGGGTTCAAGTCCACTGCAGGCTCGGTGCAAGCGAAGTGAGGCTGCCTGCTCCGGTGAAGACCGACAACCTCACAAGCCCGGTGTAGGGTGGGGATGAATTGGACTTGAAGGCAGTGACCGTGTACAAAAAAAAAAAAAGAGAGAGAGAGAGAGAGAGGAAAGAGGGCACCCTGCCCAAATTCACGGGACCTGGAAGAACAGAGCAGCCTGGTACCTCAGGTTGTCTGGGGATTCTTGAGAGAAGGGGCTGCTCCAGTGATGATCATGGCCCTATTCGTGCAGATTAACACCCTAGACTCTAGGATCGAAAGGGAGAAAGAAGTTAACAACAACGTACTTCACCCCAAGCCACTGGATTCCAAGGACCTCATAGGACAGAGCAGCAGAACTGTCCCAGACAGTTTCCGAGAATATAATCCCTGTGGAACCAAACTGCTGCGTCTTTCTCCCACTGGGCCGAGGGGCGTGCGTCTTCCAATTCCTCATCTTTGGGCTAGCAACCGAATGCTTCAGTCACCGAGGTGAAAGAGGAAGCTACAAACCAAAAGCACACAGATGTCAAACCATTTCTGATATCAGCCAGTGTTTAGAAGAAACTGTAGGGCGTGGGGGGACTAGATGAACTGCTTCCTATAAAAGTCATGTGGGGACCCTCTGAGTGGAAAATTCACTCCATAGCACCCTACAAATGCAGTCGCAGCGAGTGTTTTTGTTGAAAATCAAGTGCTCATAGCCCTAAGGGGTTTGGACTGGCCAGGACCCAAACCTTTTAAAACCCCAATACCCACTATGGTCTCGTTCATTCTGACGTGTACCACCAACTCTCTGGACATAGGAGAACATCCCAGACTGGAAATCTCGATGGGAGCAGCCACCTCCCAGAGACCGCCAGCCTTGGAGAGTGAGGGTCTGGGTTCCTCTCCTGCAATCACCCACCAGGGCTCAGGAAGTGGGGCCCCAAGACCTTGACCTCAGATGCCAGTAGTCATGGCTTAATTGTAGTCAGTGGCTCCAGGCTCAGTTTTTGTCGTTACTGCAAGTGACTCCATGTGACAGCCCTCCAGAGGGTCTTCTTTATGGGCCCCTGCATGGGAACAATCCCCTAGGGCAGCTTAGTGGTTTCCAACCGCTGACTTTGCGGTTGGCAGCCTAACTTGTAGCCACTACTGCCTCACCGAGGCTGGTCCGACTCATGCCTGGGTTCAGATCCTGCCGGTTGGACCTTCTGAGGCAAGGCTCTTTACCTCTCTGGGTGTCAGTTTCTGTCTGTGGGAAGTGAACTGTCCCCATTATTCGGGCAGGCTGCTGAGCGACGCCCCCATCGCTTTCCGCAGACGCCCAGACAATGGCCACCATGCACAAGCCCCGCTGCTCCCTGCCGGACATGCTGGGCGTGGCGGGGCTGGTCCGGCGTCGCCGCTATGCTGTGAGTGGCAGTATGTGGAAGAAGCGGACCCTGACCTGGAGGTGAGTCCTGCTCCCCGAACTGCACCGCTTGAAGCTGCCAGCAGGGGCCGAGGTGGGGGTCGAGGTGAGCTTGCAAAGGCTGCCTGCCCCCATGCCAACACCCCCTCCTCTGACAGCCCTCCTCCTCTCTCCCCAGGGTGCGCTCCTTCCCGCAGAGCAGCCTGCTGAGGCCTGAGACCGTGCGGGCCCTCATGCACCACGCCCTGGCTGCCTGGGGCGTTGAGTCGGGGCTCAGATTCCATGAGTCAAGGTCTCAGGACCCTGACGCCGATATTCTCATCGACTTTTCCCGGGCCTACCATCAAGACAGTTACCCCTTCGATGGGCCTGGGGGCACCCTGGCCCACGCCTTCTTCCCTGGGGAGCACCCCATTTCTGGGGACACGCATTTTGACGATGAGGAGGCCTGGACTTTTGGCTCTGAAGGTACAGCCTCCCTTTCTGAAGGTCTGTGTGTGTCCTTAGAAGGACTGAGGTTCAGTGATACTTATCCACGAGCTGTGTTGGCTTATAGGAGCAGACATTGCTTATTAATTTTTATGATTTATTGATTGTTGCCACCGTTGAGAGCATACTCAGCAGAAACAGCCGTTTTTTGGACGTTTCTACATGTAGAAACATTCAGTGATGTCGGCGATGTCCTTCCAGGTGTGTGGCCATTCTTACCCTCCTCTGAGTTGATTCTCCCTCATTAACATAAGCACCCGCCCCCTAAGCTTCCCATCTAACCTTCTGAGTTGCTGTTGTCAATTTGGTTCCACATGGATTCCAAATAATCAAACCCACTGCCATCGAATTGATCTCAACTTGTAGTGACCCCTATAGGGCAGATGACAAGTGCCCCATAGGGTTTCTGAGGCTATAAATCTCTACAGGAGCAGACAGCCCCATTTTTCTCCCAAGGGGCAGCTAGCGGGTTGTGGACCTTTTGCCTAAAAGCCTAACTAGCCTTTTGCTTAGTAGCCCATTGGGCCATCTGGGCTCCTTGACACCCCTCCACCCCACAGAGATAGATCTTAAAGAAGCATAATGCTCAAAGCAGACATTCTTTATGGGTTCACCTAAAGTATAGTTAGATTCAGGAGATATTTTTGGTTTAAAGATTTTCTTAGAGCAATTATTTCAAGGGTACATCCAGTCTCCATGGCTACAGAAAAACTGGATTCCATGAGAATTTGAAATTATGTTCTACATGTCCCCCCTTTTGATCAAGATTCTTCTATAGACTCTCTATAGAACAATAATGTCTAGTCTTACAATCTTGGAGGCTACCAGTTTGAATTCAAGGTGTCAGCAGGGCCATGGTGGCTCCAAAGGCGCTGAGACTTTCCCTTTGTGTGTCTCTCAGCCTTGTGGTAGCCCCAGACATTGCTTGGCTTGCAACTGCAGCATGGGACTTTGGTCACATGGCCCTCTTCTCTCTGTGTCTCTTCTCTTTTATAACACTCATATTGGGTTAGGACTCATCCTACTCCAGTATGACTTTATGCTACTTTAACTGATAACATCTTCAAAGACGCTCTCTTTCCAAGTAAAGTCAAGTTCACAAGGGGTGTGGTGGAGAGATGGGACTTCAGGAATTCAATCATACAACTCATGATAGAGGGTGTGTTAGCCTGGGTACTTTAGAGAAACAAATCCACAGAAACTCGTGTATAAGAGAGCGTTTTATATAAAGGTTAAGTGCACATCAAGAAAACATCCTAACCCAGTGCTGCCCACGCCCACAAGTCCAACATTAACTCATATGTCTGACACTAATCCACAAAGTCCACCATCTCACACAAAACACACACTATGACACCAACTGCAGGAGGAAAGCTGAAGCAGTGAACATGTAAGCATCTCAGCACTGGCAGGAGTCTCCACACGGCTGCTCCAGCACCCAGGGCTGCATCGAAGTAGGTCCATGTGGCTTCTCCTTGGGGATGTCTTGCAGAAAGTGAGCCTTGCCAGCTGAAGCAGGGAACTGGCTAAGGCAGCTACACCCTGGTCTGACCATCATAAAGCAAGAGACCCAAGATCTAGAAAGGCGAGGCTCACCAAGCCATTTATCTCTCTGCCCTTCAGTTAACCTGACATGTGTTTATCGGCCAGGTTGGCACAATAAACTTTAACTCAGAGGGTTATCTTGTGTCTAAATGTCCCGGGGTGATCCCAACAGTGTGTGATTGACTACTAACCTAAAGATTGATGGCTTGCACTGCTTCTGTGAAGATGGCAGTCACAAAACCCCTGCCGCGAGCACAGTTCTCTGTAGCATGAATCGGAATCAACTCAACAGGGATGGGGTTTTAAGTTTGAAATCACTTATTTAGGTATTTGTTATTTTTATTGTGAGTTGTGTGGCGGTTTGTAGATCAGTTTTCTGTTCGGCAATTCATACCCATTTTGTTTCGTCTCGACTGCCATGTCCACAGTGTGACGTCACTCATCCTACTTCTTCCCTGCTGCCATTCCTCCTCCTTCCTTCCTGACACCTTCTTCTGAGCTCTGTCCTTGGGAAACGCTGGCCCTTTGATCTCAAATGGTTGTTGGTTCTAAAGTGCGCATGGCCCTTGGATCTCCGGATGGAGCTGCCTATGGTGTGGCTGAAAATTGAGCCACAAGGGTGAATTCAGCTCCTGACGGGAAGGGCGATGAGGGGCTCTATTTTCAGGGGTTCCATCCATCTCTATCTGACCGGCCCACCTGGTCTTGTGGATGATTTGGGGGTTTTGCTTCACATTATTCTGCCACTCTTATCCAAGACCTCTTCGTGTGAGCCCTTGCAGAGTGCTTGGTTGTGGGAGGAAGTGGTAGCCAGGCACCATCTAGTTAACGGGTGTGGCAATGGTTTGGGTTTGCTTGTTGTTCTGTGCCTGTGCTTGTTTTTCTGTGTCTAGCTGGATGCTGAGGACTTAAAAGATACACAATCACACCTTCCCCGTTCAGCTGAGTCAGAGTAGTGAGCCACAGTTACCACACAGGGTCAGAGGAAGCATGAGGTTGTCTGCAGGCATTCAAAGGAGATACCTAGCCAAGGCTCCCAGGTGAAGGGCAGCTTCCTAGAGGGGCCTCTCTGCTCACCCAGCAAACCTGTACCGAGAGCCGCAAAATAGCCCCTGAAGTCTTCTTAAAACCAAATGGCAGTTTAGTGTGATTGGTGAACAATGTCTGCAGTGTACTCTCAAAACCTCTATGTCTTGGACCCAAAGGGGCCTCAGTGGTGCAGTCGTTAGGCACTCAGCTGCAAATGGTAAGGCCTAGGGGTGGAGCCCCCAGGGGGCTCCTAGGGAGAACAACAAGGCCATCCACTTCTGGAGGGATGTCCAGCCTCAGAAACCCGGCGGGGCAGTTCTGCCCTGCCCTCCAGGGTCGCTATGAGTTGGAATCGACTGGACAGCAGTGGATTTGGTTTCCTATGGAATCCAATCGGAAAGAGCAAGTGGAAAGATTACTTGGCAGGAAGTGAATGGAGGGGAGTGAGCTGCCGCTTACTGGGGGAGGGATCACTCCGAGAAGGAGGGTGAGAAAAGTGACACAACTCCAAGAATGTTGTCAGTGTCATGTCATGTGTCACCGTCTGCACAGAAACTGTTGACTTGACGATGCTCTGCGTCATCGATTCTCAACTCCCTCACGGCCACCCAGGGGATTCCAACTCACAGCGACCCTATAGGACGGGGTAGAACTGAGGTTTTTTGAGACTCTTTGTGGGAGTAGGCAGCCTCACCTTTCTCCCATGGATCGACTGGTGTTTGGGGGCTGCTGACCTTGCGGGCTAGCCTCCCACGACAGCACCAGCCTTTTCTATCTTCTCAACAACAACAAAGAAAATAAATGATTAAAAAATATATGTATATAACGTGCATAGAGGGAGCTTTCTACTCCTGTAAAGAGTTACAGTCTTGGAAGCCTAGAGAGTTTTCTGCCCTGTTCTATAGGGTTGCTATGAGTTGGAATCCACCCGATGTCAGCAAGTGTTATACACGTATGCATATATGTATGATGTTGAGGGGGTGACCACAGAGACGGCTGTCCTTGCTCGCTGTTGTCCAGCCCATTTGCTCGCTGTGAGTCCATGCGGTCAGAGAGGACCAGTGCCCCATCAGGCTTCAAGGCGATGACTGTTTTGGAAGGCGATGGCCGGGCTGATCTTTTGAGGCATCCCGGGGTGGATTTGAACCACCAATCTTTCAAGTGCTTGTTTGTACCACCCAAGGATGAATTCCTCTGGATGCTGGTAGGTCTCATATCACAATGGGCTTTGGATACCTTGTCTAAGGACAATGGGGAGTCACCACAGGGTGTTGCATTCTAGAAATGCCATTGGCTGAAGTTGGCACAAGGTAGAGGCAGACAGATGGGGCAGCGACTGGATTCAGGACCAGGGAGGAGATGGTGGTGTTGGCTCAGGAGGGAGGGAGGAGAGCACGGTGGAGCCGAGGAGAGTTCTTAACATGGGCACAGATTTGGCATCTGATTGGATTTGAGGGGCCAAGGAAGACGGGGGCAGAGCACTGATGTCCAGGCTCCCCTCGCCTCGCCAAGGATGGTGCACTGCTAATACAGTCCCGTGGGCTTAGGCAAGGTGGTGATGAAGCCAGTCCTGGTGTTGCATTATGGGAAAGTCAGTGCACTTGGGGCTCTGGCTGTGGAACTTGCATTCTTCTGTCTTAAGCCAAGCTCCCCAAAGCTGAACTTGGCATGGGCAGTCTCCTGTAAGTGATTTCTCAGCGGAGAGGTGGTAAGAGAAGCAGAGAGTCTGGGGAAAGGGCAGAGGCAGGCTGTGACCCCAGAGGAGAGAAGTGGAGAGAGGGCAGGGCAAACAGTGGAAGCAGGCTGTTCTCTCAGAGAAGGGGAGCTGAAGGGGAAGCAGGGCCCAGTGAGTCTCAGCTGCAGACTCGCTCAAGAGGATGGTGCAAATGACTGAGGACACAGAAGGGTGGAAGAAAGGCGATGGGTTTTCATCAAGATTCCAACCAAAAGAACGCTCTCTCTTTCTCGCTCACGGCCATGGAGTGCACTCTGACTCAGAGCGACTCTATACTGAACTCAGTGTACAGTTTTGCACTGCACACCACGGAGTGGCAAGGGGTCTGGGTTGGTCTAGTTGAAGGCACGGGGGTCAGCCCCATATCAATCAGTCACTAGCTGCGGGTTGTGCGGGGTGTGGGGGGGGGGGGGGGGTAGGGGTGGGTGCCTAGGCAGCCAGAGTACAACAGAGAGAATCTGAGCTTTGATGTGCTCCTCCTGATGCCCTGCCCCCGCCAAGGCTGGGCTCCTCCACTTGCTATGCGTATAGCAAGCTTTAACCCAAATGACCTCGGTTTTCTTCATAGGAGAAGTGGGTTCATGGCAGGACCTGCTGGCAGTTTGGGTTTTTGGATTCAATGAGAGTAATTTACAGTCAGCCCTTGGCCTAACATGGAGTCCCCAGACCAAACTCACTGTTCTTGCGCCAATTCCAATTCATAGAGACCCTATAATAGACCAAGGTAGAACTGCCCCTGTGGGTTTCCAAGGTTATAAATCTTTATGGGAGCCTCATCTTTCTCCCGTGGAGTGCCTGCTGGGTTTGAACCGGCTACCTTGCCAGTTAGCAACCCAATGTGTTACCCAGTACACCACCAGGACACAGAGTAATGCTCTCTTAATAGGCAGCATTGATCAGAGCTGGACCTAGTTGTAGATTTGAGATCCAGGGGGGACCTGGGGGAGAGGTATAGACGGTGATAAGAAGATCAAGTCGGAGCTGTGGAGAAACCCACAGTTGGGGGTAGGTGATGGTGGCAGAGAAACCAGTGGCGATGGGGTAACAAATTCCCAAGAGGTGATCAAAAACAAGAAAGAAAGGGGTTACCAAGGGCTCAAGTAGAAAGCAAATGTTTTGAGAATGATGAGGGCAACAAATGTACAAATGTGCTTGACACAATGGATGGATGTAAGAGTTGTACGAGCCCCAATAAAATGATTTTTAAAAAGAAAGAAAGAGGAAGTGGTCAGTAGTCCAGTAAGTGACACAGGCCTGGATTTGGTCATCAGGGGACTGACTGACCTTCTTGCCTGCAGGCTTGGTTTGTGGGGAAGAATCCTGACCACAAAACCGTGACAGGAGCTAAGGAAGTGAACGCTGGGTTTGGAGGACCCAAGAACATGGCAGTGGAAGGGAGGAGAGGAATCCGGGTTGGTGGGGGATGGGAGAAACAGACCCAAAGCAGTGCCTTAGGCTGAAGGAGTCTGGGACATTCTGAGATGCTGGATTTGCCATTAGGGAGAAAGAGGTAGTGGATGGAAGAGAAGTGGATGGATAAATGGGTTGGTTGGTGAACTGGATGGGTGGATGGATGAGTAGATCAGTGAATGGATGATCGGATAAGTAGATTGGGGGATGGATTGATGAATGAGTGGATCGGTGGCTGGCTGGCTGGGTTGGTTGGTGAACTGAGTAGGTGAGTGGATGGGTGGATAAATAGATTAGATGAATGGAAGGGTAGAGTGATGAATGGGGGGTGGGGGATAAGTTGATGGGTGGATGGATGGGTTTGTTGGTGAACTGGATGGGTGGTTGAATGAGTAATCAGTGAGTGAATGGATTGGATGAGTACATTGGTGGATGGATTGATGAATGGGTGGATGAGTGAATGGGTTAGATGAGTGGATGGATGGATAGATGGGTTGGTGAACTGGATAGGTGGAAGGAAGGGGACTGCATGGGTGAATTGGTGGATAGATGGGAGGGACAATGGGTGGATTTATTGCATAATCTCAGTGGAGGCTGAGGGAGGCTGGTGTGGGCACAGGGAGGGACAGGATGCAGGTGTTGAGCACAGGGAAATGTGCTCTATGCCCCAGGTGGACCCAAGTGGCTGATTACATCTGATGGCCTCTACTGATAAAGTAGGAATTGCATTTGTCAACATTTGCCATCAGATGGTGGAAAGCAGAGGCTAGATAACAACCTGACTGGGCGGGGGTGGAGTTAGCCTCAAAACCAAGCAGGGAGCTGAGGGCAAGTTTGCTGCCTGCTGGGCGAGGCGGCACTGGAGGCCCTGCAGGCTGCCCTCAGAGCTCCTGGAGCTGGATCTGCACTTGGGCGCTTTTCTCCCGCAGCTGCAGGGACCATGTGCATGTATGGTCCGAGGCCCAGAGGGGCCAGTCACACCGGAGGAGCAAGCAGTGCACAGAACTGGCGGGTGTGGTCTCCCTGGCCATTCCGACACCCAACCGCCTCTGATTTCTCAGAAAAAAAGGTTGCAGAATAGTACATGCAGTGCAGAGAACTCGGGGTGCCTGACAACAGGGGAGGGCACTGCCACCTGACGGCCATTCATCCAGTCAACCAGGGAGCTGAGGGGAGCAAACTTCAGACCTCAGGGCTCATTCCACTTTCAGCTTTGCTAACCTGGGTTCCAGATTTCCGTTAAGGAGTAAGAAACTAGGGAAGCCTGTGGCTCTGTGGCTGTCTGACTCTCTTCCGTCCTCTCTTGCCCTCCCCCCACCCCAGCAAGGGCAGCAGGAGGAGGGTGAGAGAGCTGGGGCCCTGGACTCTGGCGCCTGGCTGGAACCCTAGGGAAGAGGCCAGTGTGGTTGGAGAGGCTGCGGGGAATGGGGGCCAGGAGACTGTGGTCTGAGAGAGGCTGCTGAGGTGGCAGATCCTGACTGCAATGGAAGGGGAGTGGGGAAGCAGCGGGGTGCATTAAGGGGGAGGGCTTCTTCGGTCTGGGTGGGGGTGATCTTGGGAGCTGAGAGGCCAAGGAGGGAGCAGCTGGGGGAGGGACAGCTCTTAGGGGGAGGGGAGCACCTACTTCCTCCTGAGAACTAGGTTGGGCACCCCTTCAACTCCACTTCCCCCACAGTGTTCTTAGATCCACCTCACAGGCCAACCTTCCTGGGGGGTAGGGGAGGGCGGGGTGAGCTGGAATACCTCTGTGCAAGGTCATCTCCTTCCCCTGTCCAGGCGGTTCCTCCTGCCCGCCCCTCCCCCAGAGGAGAGGATGTGTCTCTTCCGTGCTGGCCCCAGGGTCTAGTACAGTCAAACAGGGGACACTTACCGTCTCTAGTGAATGACTGGGGAAATAAACGGCCCAGGGCTGGAGTTCAAGGCCTCCCGGACTGTTCTCAAGCCCTGTTGCCCCCGTTCACAAGGAGGTGCCCCTTTGCTGGTGCTGGTGTCCCCCTGCCCCCAGCTGGTTCTCTCTCCCTCCCAGATGGCGAGGGCACAGACCTGTTCGCCGTGGCGGTTCACGAGTTCGGCCACGCCCTGGGCCTGGGCCACTCTTCAGCACCCAATTCCATCATGCGGCCCTTCTACCAGGGCCCCGTAGGCGACCCCAGCAAGTACCGCCTGTCCCAGGACGACCGAGACGGGCTTCATCAGCTCTATGGTATGATGGTGCCAGGGCTGCCCTAGGCAACCTGAACCCGGGCCTGGAAGCAGGGCAGGGCACCCACAACCCCACTCTCTCCCTGCAGGGAAAGGGCCCCAAACCCCACACACCGAGCCCACAATGAAACCCCTGGCACCTCCGCCCCGGCCTCCCGTGCTGCCCCCAGACAGGTGAGCCGCACCCACCCCTACCCTCAGAGCTCAGCTTCCTGGGGAGCCCGCTGGCCCTCCCCTCTGCACTCAGCTGGCCTTACTTCCACAGCCCCTCCACCCCAGTCCCTGATCGCTGTGAGGGCAATTTTGATGCCGTTGCCAACATCCGAGGCGAAACCTTCTTCTTCAAAGGTGAGTCCTTCTTCAAAGGTGAGTCACTTCACTCGCTGCCCACCTGGGCACAGGTGGCTGCCAGCTCACCCACCTAGGGGTGCTGTGGGCCTCCTCTGGCCATGAGACAAAAACCAGGAAAGTCCCAGGCAAACCAGGGCAATTCTGGGTCCTGATCCCCATGCCAATGGTCCCTGGGGGGTGGGGGCCTATGGGAGAGCGTCAAAACTTCTCCCCTCTAGCTGCACAAGGTAAACCTCCCCTCTAGCTGCACAGTTTCCATTCTGTGGATCTGGCTCTCAGGTGCTCCCAGGTGTATCCGAGCAGAAATGAGCTCCCTGCAGGCAGAATTGTCCAGTGCGTTTCCAAGACTCTTTATGGGAGTCCAAAGCCCCGCCTTTCTCCCGTGGTGCTGGGTGGTGGTTTCAGACTTCTGACCTTGCAGATTTTTGCCCCACTCATAACCCCCACGAGGCCAGGGCTCCATACGGTTCCTTCGCAAGGACTGTTTTTTTCAAAAGCTGATTTGCCAGGCCTTTCTTTCAAGGCACCTCTAGGACGGTGCATTCCCAACACCGACCATTCGGTTAGGAGCTGAGCATTTACCCATTGGCGTCACTCACAGACACGGGGGAGGAAGACCTCCTGATTGACCTTCCCCCATCCCCTTCCCCCCAAAGGCCCCTGGTTCTGGCGCCTCCAGCCCTCGGGACAGCTGGTGTCGCCCCGGCCGGCCCGGCTGCACCGCTTCTGGGAGGGGCTGCCCACGCAGGTGATGGTCATCCAAGCCGCCTATGCGCGTCCCCGAGATGGTCGGATCATCCTGGTCAGCGGTGAGCACATCCTCCTGCACGGGGGAGGACTGGGAGGTTTGAGGGAGCCTACCCTGACTGGCTGGGGCCTCCCACCAGGCCTCCAGTTCTGGGTGTTCAAGGACCGGCAGCTGGAGGGGGCGGCCATGCCGCTGACTACGCTCGGGCTGCCCCCGGGGGAGCAGGTGGACGCGGTGTTCTCGTGGCCGCTAAACGGGAAGACCTACCTGGTCCGCGGGCAGCAGTACTGGCGGTATGATGAGGCGGCTGCCAGCCCCGACCCCGGCTACCCGCGCTCCTTAAGTCTGTGGGAAGGGGCACCTTCCGCCCCCGATGACGTCACCATCAGCAACACAGGTAGGAGGACCCAGGGAAAGGAGCTGGCCCTGGGGGATGGTCTGGGGAGACAGAAGCACTGGGGGCGGGCAGCTTGTGGGGTTCTTGGGAGAGCTGCGGGGTGCCACAGGATGGGTGTGCTTGGGGAGGGTCTGGGTCACTCCCTTGAAGTGACCTCTTGGTCTCCACAGGTGACACCTACTTTTTCAAGGGCACCTACTACTGGCGCTTTGCCAAGGGCAGCGTCATGGCCGATGCCGACTCCCCACTTCCCATGGGGCCCAAGTGGCTGGACTGCCCTGCTCCTAGCGGTGACCCACCCAAAGCACCCTCCCAGCCTGCAGGCTGCAACTGTCAGTGTGAGATTAATGGGGCCCAGGGACGCCCACCCCTATCCCTGACCCTCCTGCTGCCCCTCCTGACCATGCTGGTGGGGCCCATCGCCTCTTGCTGAGATACAGGGCTGGACAATCTGAACGGACAAGCCTCCCTTTGCTGGACCTGATGGGGGCTGCAAGGGCACCTCACCGAAGTCAGAGTAGGGGGGCTTCACAAGCTGGAGCTGGCCAATGTCCCCCAGGACTGCGCTCTCCTGCTGTCACGACAACAGCACACCTCCCACGCCTCCGTTGTCCCAGAGCCCCCTGCCGGGGGGCACCCACTTAGCAAACTCAGCACTGCAGGGGTCAGGCTAAAGGGGGTCAGGTGCCCGGCAGCTGACACTTCCGACCCCACAGAGGTCCAGACCTCCTGCCCTTCCTGGCATGGTATCTATGGAGAGGGCCAGCCTGGGGTCTGGGAAGACTAGCCCCATGCAAACGGGACAGACGTCAGGAAAGGCTGGCATTTTCCTGGCAGTGGGGACCTTCCAGGCGGTGCTGACCACAAAGGGACTTTCCTTTTCTTGGAAGGGTTAGCCTTTCCTGCACAGCAGCCGGCCGCCTCCTCTCTGCCCCTGTCCTCCTGGCACCAGAGGCTGGCACGAGTGTGGGTTAAGCTGAGGAAAAGCAGACACTCCCAACATAGCTCCGGTTCTCACCCACTGCTCTGAGATTCCAGAAGCTTCTCACCCTGTCCCGCCCCCACGATGGCCCAGTGCAATTACCCCACCCTTGACCTAACCTTGTGATCATCTCTGAGCCCAAGGGAACTGATCTCTGATATTAAAAACCAAACCAACCAACCAAACAAACAAACCAAAAAACCCCCGCCATTCTCTCCTTCCCTGGGCCCAACACTCTTCAAGAATTCTCTACAGAGCCAGCTGATAGTCTTGGTTAGAGGTGGCCACCCCCATAGGTGGGGCCCACCTTAGTGCTGCCCCAGCAGCAGCCCCAGGCCCTTTCTGGAGCTGAGGCTGTGGGGGGCAATCTCACAGAGCCCAGCTGATCAAGACCACCAGGCCAGGTCAAGGACACAAGTCAGACATCTTCCACTGGACCATGGCCAGGAAATTGCAAGCACCCAGAAACCCACCTGAGCTCTGACAGGCTTCTCTCTGAAGATGAGGAGGAGAAGACTTGCTTTTTACAAGCACATCAGCCTATAGGTGGGGAGGGAGCAGTAAGAATTCATAGCTCCAAATCCCTTCATTTCTTCTGGGCTTCAATGGGCCCAGGGTCAAATTTGGTGGTGGAATGGCTCTGCTCAGCAGAAGTTGGAAGCCCAACTTGAGTGGGGACAGCAGGGGAGGAAGACAGGAGGGTGGGTGGGAGGAGGACAGAGAGAGCAGAACCCAAAAGATGATGGGGGGGGGCACGGTGGTGCGTGAGAAAGGGTATCCAATGGGAATGTTGAGATGGTTTTTATTGCAATAAAAACATTCTGGCTCTGACTCTTCCCTGACTTTTTTTTTATATCATTTTATTAAGGGCTCATACAACTCTTATCACAATCCATACATACATCAATTGTGTAAAGCACATTTGTGCATTCATTGCC